GATGGATTGGCCAAGTGACAGCATCGATGGATTCAAGAGGGACTCAAGCTTGGCAACAGTAGTGAGGTTGGCCCAGGATCAGGCAGTGTTTCGTTCTGTTGTGCATAAGGTCACTCTGAGTTGGTACCAACTTGATGGCACATAACAACAACAACAATACCTAGGATATCAGTGTTTGTGTTCCATTTCAATTTTGACAATTTCCAATTTTCCTAGATTCATACTTTGTACATTCTATGTTCTGATTATTAATGGATGATTACAGCTATTTCTTTTCCTTTTGAGTTGTGCAAATGAAGGTCCCAAATGCTTTTTTCTACATTTGCATCATCACAGTCAACTCTACTGTTAGGAGTCAGCTTTTCCTCAGTCACATTTTCAGTGTCTTCCAACCTGAGGGGCTCATCTTCTGGCACTATACCTGACAATATTTTGGTGCTCTTCATCATGTTTCAATATTCAATTATCTGGTGCTGATAGTGTTCCACTGCTAGTCATAAGGTTTTCGGTAACTAAGTATTCAGAAGTAGTCTCTCTCGGTTTCTTTCTAGTCTGGCTTCATCTGGAAGCTCAGCTGAAACCTGTCCACCGTGGGTGACCTTGCTGGTATTGAAAATACCCATCACATAGCTTCTAGAATCAAGCAACACACAAGCTACCATAGTATGACAAACTGACAGAAGAGTGGTGGCCTCAATTGGCATCCCAGAAAAAGTTGTAAAGTTAATCATCAGTTGGAAAATTGATGCTTACAGGTTTTCTGGGATTCTCAAAAACCAGTATTGGAAGACTATTACAAAAAAGGTTCAACAATTAAGAGTGTTCCTTTACAGTGAGATGCTCAATGAAAAGCTGAAGCCTCAAATTTGTATTAAAAGCAGAGGACTGCTCTCCAAGGGCGTTATGGTCTTGCATCACAATGCACATAAACCTACCTCTGCCCACACTATTGACACTCTGTGAAAACTTTGTTTTGATGTTGTAAAGCATTCTCCCTGTAGTCCTGATCTAGTGTTCCATCATGGAGTCCTGGTGTGGCGCGGTGGGCTAATGTGTCAGACTGCAAAGTCATTTGAACTGCAAGGTCAGTGGTTCAAGCTCACTAGCTGCCCCTTAGAAACCCTATACTGGGTCACTATGGGTCGGAATCGACTCGACGGCACTTTACAAGTGCTGCATCATGCTTTCACCTGTTTGGTCCTCTGAAAGCAGCCCTTAGAGGAAAAAGAGTCACGTCAGATGAAGAAGTGAAGACTGTGGTGCATTTGAGGCTCGCAACTCAGCCTAGGACATTTTTTCCTAAGGTTATTGACAGATGGACAAAGTGTATTCAAAAGCAAGGAGATTATGTTGACAAATGATATATTTGTCTTTTCTAAAAGTTGATTAAAATAAATTCTATAGCCAGAGTGTGGATAATTTTTGACTCACTCTCATATATATCCTTTACATTAATTTGTCCCTAAATTCTTATTGCATTAATTTTAGAAATGCTTCCGTAATTCAATCTGTGTCTATACTTTCATTGCAGCTACTAATATAGTACAATTCCTCATCCGCAGCTTCTTCTCCCTGGACCATTTGAAACAAGTTTTCCTTTCATTAAGATCAAGTGCAAACTGGCAGGCATGAACCTTATATGGATGTTATATCTTTAACTCTTGACCTTTTTTTCCATGCATCCTCCTGTTGAGGTACACTGAATTTCTAGCTTTCCTAACTTATGCCAGGTTCTTCAAAAACTTTACCTTTGCATATATTTCCTTTTTAAATGCTTCTTTCCTTTTCTGTCTTCAGAATTCCTCTTTCCTGACAATTCCTGCTTATCATTTATGATAGGATAACTGACATTTTTCAGAGCTACCTAAGGCACATTTAGTTCCTAAGTCTTTTGTGCACTACTTACAATCTTAATTCGCCAGCTCACTAGACTATCTCTTCTACTTCAGAGATGGCAGATAAAGCTCACCTTCTCCTTTTGTGTCTACTTCACAAGTGCTAATTGATCACAGTAGCTGAGCGAAAGTGTGTCCTTACAATTCATCAGAATAACAATCTAGTACATCGCTGTTTCTCACATTAAACTGAAATCCTGCTTTATGCTGGTTTCTTCAAGCATAAATCCAGAATAGTTTATAGAACCAATATTTCAGTATTCATTTTACATGGTGTTAAAATACCAGTATTGGTAATAATCTTTTATTTTGGTGCAGTGAATTACTTGATATGGCTCTTTTAGCCACAGTCTTAGTAATACTTACAAATGACTGAATGAAACCATATGAATAAGGTATATGGAAATCTAATGAGGTGATTGGTCAAATTTATCATCCCGCTGGGTTTAAAATGAACCGTCTGAGAAGCTGGAACAGAAAGATTTCATTACTATCAAGAAGGAAGAGCCAGTAGTGGAGTGCTTCCTTTGGACCCTGGAGTCCGTATTCATAGAACCCTCTTGACTCAGGAGACAGATCTGTGACACCAGAGGAGTGACAGAGGCCTGATAGGTGTGGTAACAGCAGGACCCAAAGCTACAACACAAGACAGAACAGTGGACTCCCTTGCTTATGGACTGTGGTGCCTTCAGGTACTTAACTGAGAAACCTAGACCTAAGGAGCTAGAACTGAGTGCCTTTGGGCTGAGGCTTGTTGTGGAATGGAGTGCATTTTGGGTATTTATTGTTAAAGGAGATTTGTAACATTGCCTTAGCAGGGCAGAGGCCAAGGACCAGAGAGAGGTTTGCCTGTGGGCATGGCAGAGAAAACGTGCTACTGACTGGAAGAAGTGTATCCTGAGCATTTCTATCCTGAAGTATATAACCTGTTAACTTTCTAATAAACTCCATACTTGTGAGTATTGTCTGTCAGTTCCATGTGACTACTGCAATGAGTTGTGGGACCCAGCAGTGGAGTAGAGTGCTGTGGGAGGGAAGGCTGGTGTCAGAATTGGTAAAAAAGGGTGGAAGGTGGAAGAGGGTTGTCTGACCTCCACCTCATGGGACTTGGTCTTGGGCTAAAAAGTTTGATTATCCTACACTCTTGTGAAGTCAGAGGAGTTCAGATGCCACCTCTACACCCTTTTTGTAATTATTAACAATTATATTCATTTTATAAAAGTAAAACTAGACTTTACATACATTTAAAATATAAAAATGTATATTTACATAAAGCATATCTATGTACTTTAACCTACAGATGATCATGAACATGGCAATATTTCATTCTGTTACACATTGTTATTGGGAGCTGACCTGATGACATCTATGTACAACATAATAAAATATTACATGGTAATTTTTAAATGAGAAGCTCTGGTAGTGTAATGGTTAGGAATCGGGCTGATAGCCCCAAGGTCAGCAGTTTGAAATTACCAGCTGTTCCACGGGAGAAAGATGAGGCTTTCTTCTCCCATGAAGATTTACAGCCTCAGAAACCCTGTACAGGGTCACTATGAGTCAGAACCAACTCCACGGCACACAGCCACCACCACCAATTTAAAAATAATAAAATATAAAAAAAATTAAGTGTATGAATATTTCAGTGCTTTACAAAGAACTAATTATACTGGAATACTAAAAACTGGTATTGCAGTCGCAACTCATTTACCATGTGGCCTTAGTTCTAAAGAGTGCAGTAAGTATGGTAAAGGAGTCTGACATCAATAAATACGTGAGTGAGCTTACTGAAGTATAATGCTGTACTTCATGAAAAAGAAGACATCTCAGAACTAGCTAGTTCTTCACCTTGGACAGTTGTAATGAGAAGTTTTTCATCCAAATTTTAGGATTATTTTCTGGCTGGCTACATTGTGAGATGCATTCTACTTCCAGAGAGGTAAAAATGCTGGGGATGGATCAGGGGACATTTTAGAATAATTCCGATTAGAGTAATGATTTTATGTTTAGACCGAAATCTATTTTTTTTTAAAGATTTTATTTCTAAAATATTAAGAAAGATTAATTTTTCTCTAACCTTTATAAAGGAGTGAGGGGATGTATTCTTGTACATAAGTTTCAAAATGAGTTTTTTTTTTTTTTTTTAATGTTTTATTGTGAATTATATGATAGTTTACATGAGAGAACTTTAGTTTTACATTCATTCCATCATATATCATCTCAT